AGAGTCAAGGAGGAATTAACAGTGGCCAGTCACAGATTAGGCCTAGTCCTAGATAAAAAAATATTTAAAATATAGATTCTCCATTTAGCTTTTTAGTCCATGACTAGGCTTAATCTGTGTCCGGGAAACTGGCCCAAGGCTGTTTGAATAGACAATGACAAAGTCCATTAGATGCACGACTATTCAAGCCTGGACAGACTTGAATTGAATTGCCATTGGTCTAGTACACTATTAAAATGAATCAGAGCGGATTTCCTTAAATTAAATTATATATTCACAGAGATTAAATTACATGCAGGACATGATCACAGATGGGTACAATGCTTCCGAGAGTAAAAACAGTGTTTAATTGGATGTTCGTTGCACAGAGGTGCCATTTCTATTGCTCTACCAGGGTCATGGCTAGAGGGGATCCAGCTTTTGTTAAATTAATGTCCCTTTTTCTAATAACCCTTTTTCTAACCTTAACCTAATTCTCCTAACCTGCTGCGTAAAGTCAACTCCTTCTAGCCTTGACCCTCTACTGCTCTGTGTGTCAAACTAAACTCCTTCCCCCTTTTCGTTATAAAAACACACCCCTAAGTTCCCAACTGCCATGATTCAGACAAGACACTGAAATGAATGACTGCTGTTCTATTACAAACACAGATGCAAGTGTTTAGGCTTGGTAGTCAGTCCATCTCCACGGCAACTGGAGAGACAGTCAGCATTTCAATAGACTAACACAAAGCTGAAATTCATAGCCTGTCCTGTGATCATCATAGACCCTAAGCCAATGACAGAGCTCTCTCTCTCTATGGGCTGTATTGTTGAGAGAGAGAGAGAGAGAGAACAAGAGAGATGTATTATCGTTGTCTAATGTTGTAATGATGTATTCTGAGTCATCCACCATGCCAGTCCTCTGTGACCGCAGTCACCACCCACCATCAAAGCCATTACTGCATCAATTTCTAACTGCCAATATTGTATGTTCCACTACAAAGAGGGTCGGGTTGTGGCCAGAATGCATTGGTAAACACGGTTTGAATTTGAACTGAAAAGGCCAAGAGGAAGTAGAATTTGAATGGGGAAGATAGTTCAATAAGTTGGGGAATGAGTAGGTAATTAGCAAATTCCCCCAAATGTCCTTTTAATTACTTTTTTTTTTTTTACAGACGACTACAGAGAGTACACTGAGACAGGTAGGCCTGAATCATGCTGCCTTCAGTATGCTACATGGTCTATCAGACAGCTTGTGGTTGACTTGGCTGCTGCTACAGTAAAGCTAGTCTTATTTGGGTGGTCCTCTGTAGCTCAGCTGGTGGAGCGCGGTGCTTGCAACGCCAGGGTAGTGGGTTCGATCCCCGGGACCACCCATACGTAAAAAATGTATGCGCACATGACTGTAAGTCGCTTTGGATAAAAGCGTCTGCTAAATGGTATATTATTATTGTTATTTCACAGCCACTGTTGCCAACTGGGTGTAGTTTAAGGCCTAACAGAAAGGATGGCCTGTCCTCCACTGCCCCCTAGTGGACTTCACACTACAGGGAAAATATTACCATCCACTAATCGTCATCATAAAACAACTCTTCAACATAGCTGGATATATCATGATTTATTCAGGGGGGCCCAATTGAGACCAGGGTCTCATTCATAATGGTGCCCTGAGAACGAACAACTCACGACATGATAATTCTATAAATCAACAAAACTACAGGATATAGCAGATAGACAACATTTTACATTTACATTTTAGTCATTTAGCAGACGCTCTTATCCAGAGCGACTTACAGTTAGTGAATACATATTTTTTTTATACTGGCCCCCCGTGAGAATCGAACCCACAACCCTGGCGTTGCAAACGCCATGCTCTATCAACTGAGCTACATCCCTGCCGGCCATTCCCTCCCCTACCCTGGACGACGCTGGGCCAATTGTGCGCCGCCCATGAGTCTCCCGGTCGCGGCAGGCGGCAACAGGATGCAGCAGATAGACACCACATCTCAACACTAACCAACTACAGGATGCAGCAGATAGACACCACATCTCAACACTAACCAACTACAGGATGCAGCAGATAGACACCACATCTCAACACTAACCAACTACAGGATACAGCAGATAGACACCACATCTCAACACTAACCAACTACAGGATACAGCAGATAGACACCACATCTCAACACTAACCAACTACAGGATACAGCAGATAGACACCACAATCAACCACAACCCTAATTAACCACCACAATCAACCAAAACACTTGCAAACCTCAGTGAATGTATTCCTCATCAGCCCTACTGGCACCAGGGATTCAAGATGGAATGAGGTTTGTAAATTATTCCAAACATGGGTGGCGTTAAAACTAAAGGCTGATTTACCTCGGTATGTAGAGACAGGAGAGACCTCGAGTTAACCAACCCTGTGAGTGAGTTTGGTATCTCGTATTTGTATACTTTAACAGAGATGCTGATATTACAATAGCTATTGGTATCGGTATATATTGAAAACAGCCCTACGTGTATTTAAACTGCATTGATGGCAACAATTTTAACCCCTTTGAGTAGAACGCCTAGTTTCATGTAGTCATGCAGAGCCTCATAGTGGTGATCCTGAGAAAAATAACTTCATTTGGAACGAACCTTTTAGACTATATACACTGAACAAAAATATGAACGCAACATGAAACAATTTCAAAGATTTTACTGAGTTACAGTTCATAAAAGGAAATCAGTCAATTGAAATAAATAAATTAGTCCCTAATCTATGGATTTCAAATGACTGGGAATACAGATTGGTCACAGATACCTTAACAAAAAGGTAGGGGCATGGATCAGAAAACCAGTCAGTATCTGGTGTGACCACCATTTGCCTCATGCAGCGCGACACATCTCCTTCGCATTGAGTTGACCAGGCTGTTGATTGTGGCCTGTGGAATGTTGTCCCACTCATCTTTGTGGCCTGTGGAATGTTGTCCCGCTTCTCTTCAATGGCTGTGCGAAGTTGCTGGATATTGTCGGGAACTGGAACACGCTGTCGTATACGTCGATCCAGAGCATCCCAAACATGCTCAATGGGTGACGTCTGGTGAGTATGCAGGCCATGGAAGAACTGGGAAATTTTCAGCAATTGTGTACAGACCCTTGCGGCATGGTGCCGTGCATTATCATGCTGAAACATGAGATGATGGCGGCAGATGAATGGCACGACAATGGGCCTCAGGATCTCGTCACGGTATCTCTGTGCATTCAAATTGCCATCAATACAATGACTGTGTGTTCAAGAACATTGGTGAGCTTCCCTGAGACGCTTTCTGACAGTTTGTGCAGAAATTCTTCGCTTGTGCAAACCCACAGTTTAATCAGCTGTCCAGGTGGCTGGTCTCAGACGATCCTGCAGGTGAAGAAGCCGGATGTGGAGGTCCTGGGCTGGCATGGTGACACGTGGTCTGCGGTTGTGAGGCCGGTTGGACGTACTGCCAGATTCCCTAAAATGACATTGGAGGCGGCTTATGGTAGAGAAATAAACATTCAATTATTTGGCAACAGCTCTGGTGGACATTTCTGCAGTCAGCATGCCAATTGCACACTCCTTCAAAACGTGAGACATTTGTGGCATTGTGTTGTGTGACAAAGCTGGGCAAGACAAATTATTTAAGTGCCTTTGAAGGGGGTATGGTTTGTCAAGAACTGCAACGCTGCTGGGTTTTTCACGCTCAACAGTTTCCCGTGTGTATCAAGAATGGTCCACCACCCAAAGGACATCCATCCAACTTGCCCCAACTGTGGGAAGCATGGGCCAACATCCCTGTGGAACCGTTTTGACACCTTGTAGAGTCCACGCCCCGACGAATTGAGGCTGTTCTGAGGGCAAAACGGGGGTGCAACTCAATATTAGGAAGGTGTTCCTAATGTTTGGTATACTCAGTGTATATACGTTCCATGAATCGGCGTATGCGAACGTGAGTAGATTACCTTGAAAACAACGGGCGGACATCTTGGACGCAGTCTCCAGTTCTTACTGTACCTCAGTGCTACAAGCTGGCAAGCTCTATTCAAGTGAAACTTCCCAGTCGGAGCTTCCCATAACTCCAATAGCACTTGAACGCAGCATTTGCCAGACTACTACGGAGTGCCCAATAGGAACTGAATTCAAATCAAATTGTATTGGTCACATGCTTCGTAAACAACAGGTTCCTATTGTAGAAATTGTATGCAAGGAATATGGGACAAAATACTAAACTTTTGACTACTTTAATACATTATAAGTGAATTTCTCCAAATACTTATGACATCTTCAAATGGGGGAACTTTCATTTCGGTATGAAAATACACTCAAAAAAAGGTGAGATTCTATGCTGTCGCCTCATATGAAACATTTGATCTCAAATCCAAAATGCTGGAGTACAGAGCCACATTCTTCCTCTCTCATCCGGGTCCAGAAGTTAAACACTTAGAGTTAGTCTGACAAGAACAAGCACATAGTCAATCTGATAAGGGACAAGCAGACTGACCAAGTCTCTAAAAGGACTAGAAGAAATAATACATAAGTGTGAAGCGAATCACCACTTAAGTTTCCAGGCCACGTACAACAGATCCATCCATATAATTGTATTACTCTCAATCCCTCATTACAAAAATAAACCACATTTAAATATACATTGATTAATTTTAAATTACACATGGTACTTAGTGAAAGAGTACATATAAGAATCTGTAATACATCAGTTTGAATAAGTTGAGAAACAAACATCTTCCATTTCATCCCACATCACATTATTATATTCAAGATCCATTCAATAAATCAATAGGCCTTCTTTAGTGGAAGTGTCAACATCTAAAAGCTAACAGCCCGCTACTACTTTTTCCTGTTATTATAAACTGTCAAACTGTCAAACTCTGCTTTGCTCGTTGGAAATTTCAACTACTTATTTTTCAACAATGGCACTTGAGTTCCAGCAGAGGGCAACACCACATCATCCCTTCCCAACACCACAACATCCCTTCCCAACACCACATCATCCCTTCCCAACATCACAACATCCCTTCCCAAAACCACAACACTGTGCCCTATGTTGCATTGCATCCCTTCCTGGACTCTGTGCTCTGTTCCACTGCATCCCTTCCTGTTCTCTGTGCTCTGTTTCATTGCATTCCTTCCTGTTCTCTGTGCCCTCTGTTTCATTGCATTCCTTCCTGTTCTCTGTGCCCTCTGTTTCATTGCATTCCTTCCTGTTCTCTGTGCCCTCTGTTTCATTGCATTCCTTCCTGTTCTCTGTGCCCTCTGTTTCATTGCATTCCTTCCTGTTCTCTGTGCCCTCTGTTTCATTGCATTCTTTCCTGTTCTCTGTGCCCTCTGTTTCATTGCATTCCTTCCTGTTCTCTGTGCTCTCTGTTTCATTGCATTCCTTCCTGTTCTCTGTGCCCTCTGTTTCATTGCATTCCTTCCTGTTCTCTGTGCCCTCTGTTTCATTGCATTCCTTCCTGTTCTCTGTGCCCTCTGTTTCATTGCATTCCTTCCTGTTCTCTGTGCCCTCTGTTTCATTGCATTCCTTCCTGTTCTCTGTGCCCTCTGTTTCATTGCATTCCTTCCTGTTCTCTGTGCCCTCTGTTTCATTGCATTCCTTCCTGTTCTCTGTGCCCTCTGTTTCATTGCATTCCTTCCTGTTCTCTGTGCTCTCTGTTTCATTGCATTCCTTCCTGTTCTCTGTGCCCTCTGTTCCATTGCATTCCTTCCTGTTCTCTGTGCCCCCTGTTTCATTGCATTCCTTCCTTTTCTCTGTGCCCTCTGTTGCATTGCATTCCTTCCTGTTCTCTGTGCCCTCTGTTCCATTGCATTCCTTCCTGTTCTCTGTGCCCTCTGTTCCATTGCATTCCTTCCTGTTCTCTGTGCCCCCTGTTTCATTGCATTCCTTCCTTTTCTCTGTGCCCTCTGTTGCATTGCATTCCTTCCTGTTCTCTGTGCCCCCTGTTCCATTGCATTCCTTCCTGTTCTCTGTGCCCTCTGTTCCATTGCATTCCTTCCTGTTCTCTGTGCCCTCTGTTCCATTGCATCCCTTCCTGTTCTCTGTGCCCTCTGTTTCATTGCATCCCTTCCTGGCCTCTGTGGTCTCTGTTCCATTGCATTCCTGTCATGCCTCAGTACCTCCTTCTACTCCTTTACTTTCCCCGGGTCTCAGAGCTACTTCTTCCCCTGTGAATGTGGGTGTAGAGGGCACAGGACCTCCAGCAGCCCCCCTGTACAGCCCTTCCACACCCCCAGTCATCCTGCTAGTTTAAGGAGGAGTAAACTGGTGCAGCAGCAAAGAGCACAGCTTTAGGGACAGGGTCACAATCCCATTAGATGGGGGCATCCTCTCTTTGGGACAGGCGGGACATCGAGCTGCTTCTCCTGTCTCTTGGAGCTCAAGAGCCTCTGCTTCATCTCATAACTGTCCCTGCATGGCCCTACGAGGCGGATGGTCTCATCGATCTGAGACACTAGAACAGCAGGATAAATGTCCTTATACGTCTGAATCCGCTTACTGACTCTCACCTTGCTGTCTTGATCAAGTGACGTCATTTGGATTTCCTGGGTGCGTAGCATTGTGTAGTACTGATATCATGGGGCTCTTCCCCTCGAGGACCACAGAACTGATATCATTTCCATAGCACTCTATGGGCTCTTCCCCTCGAGGACCACAGAACTGATATCATTTCCATAGCACTCTATGGGCTCTTCCCCTCGAGGACCACAGAATTGATATCATTTCCATAGCACTCTATGGGCTCTTCCCCTCGAGGACCACAGAACTGATATCATTTCCATAGCACTCTATGGGCTCTTCCCCTCGAGGACCACAGAACTGATATCGTTTCATTGCATCCCTTCCTGTTCTCTGTGCTCTCTGTTTCATTGCATCCCTTCCTGTTCTCTGTGCTCTCTGTTTCATTTTATTCCTTCCTGTTCTCTGTGCCCTCTGTTTCATTGCATTCCTTCCTGTTCTCTGTGCTCTCTGTTCCATTGCATTCCTGTCATGCCTCAGTACCTCCTTCTACTCCTTTACTTTCCCCGGGTCTCAGAGCTACTTCTTCCCCTGTGAATGTGGGTGTAGAGGGCACAGGACCTCCAGCAGCCCCCTGTACAGCCCTTCCACACCCCCAGTCATCCTGCTAGTAGGAGTAAGGAGGAGTAAACTGGTGCAGCAGCAAAGAGCACAGGTTTAGGGACAGGGTCACAATCCCATTAGATGGGCGCATCCTCTCTTTGGGACAGGCGGGACATCGAGCTGCTTCTCCTGTCTCTTGGAGCTCAAGAGCCTCTGCTTCATCTCATAACTGTCCCTGCATGGCCCTACGAGGCGGACGGTCTCATCGATCTGAGACACTAGAACAGCAGGATAAATGTCCTTATACGTCTGAATCTTGGTTTCTCAAATGACTGCCTCGCCTGGTTCACCAACTACTTCTCAGATAGAGTTCAGTGTGTCAAATCGGAGGGCCTGTTGTCTGGACCTATGGCAGTCTCTATGGGGGTGCCACAGGGTTCAATTCTTGGGCCGACACTTTTCTCCGTGTATATCAATGATGTCGCTCTTGCTGCTGGTGACTCTCAGATCCACCTCTACGCAGACGACACCATTTTGTATACATCTGGCCCTTCATTGGACACTGTGTTAACAAACCTCCAAACGAGCTTCAATGCCATACAACACTCCTTCAGTAGCCTCCAACTGCTCTTAAACACTAGTAAAACTAAATGCATGCTTTTCAATCGAACGCTGCTGGCACCCGCCCACCCGACTAGAATCACCACTCTTGATGGGTCTGACCTAGAGTATGTGGACAACTACAAATACCTAGGTGTCTGGTTAGACTGTAAACTCTCCTTCCAGACTCACATTAAGAATCACCAATCCAAAGTTAAATCTAGAATCGGCTTCCTATTTCGCAACAAAGCCTCCTTCACTCATGCTGCCAAACATGCCCTCGTAAAACTGACTATCCTACCGATCCTTGACTTCGGCGATGTCATTTACAAAATAGCCTCCAACACTCTACTCAGCAAATTGGATGTAGTCTATCACAGTGCCATCTGTTTTGTCTCCAAAGCCCCATACACTACCCACCACTGTGACCTGTACGCTCTTGTTGGCTGGTCCTCACTACATGTTCGTCGTCAAACTCACTGGCTCCAGGCCATCTATAAATCACTGCTAGGCAAATCCCCACCTTATCTTAGCTCATTGGTCACCATAGCAACACCCACCCGTAGTATGCGCTCCAGCAGGTATATCTCACTGGTCATTCCCAAAGCCAACACCTCCTTTGGCCGCCATTCCTTCCAGTTCTCTGCTGCCAATGACTGGAACGAATTGCAAAAATCTCTGAAGCTGGAGACTCTTATCTCCCTCACTAACTTTAAGCATCAGTTGTCAGAGCACCTTACCGATCACTGCACCTGTACACAGCCCATCTGAAATTAGCCCACCCAACTACCTCATCCCTATATTGTTATTTATTTTGCTCATTTGCACCCCAGTATCTCTATTTGCACATAATCTCTTGCACATCTAGCATTCCAGTGTTAATACTAATTGTAATTATTTTGCACTATAGCCTATTTATTGCCTTACCTCCATAACTTGCTACATTTGCACACACTGTATATATATTTTCTGTTGTATTTTTTGACTTTATGTTGTTTTACCCCATATGTAACTCTGTATTGTTGTTTTTATCGTACTGCTTTGCTTTATCTTGGCCAGGTCGCAGTTGTAAATGAGAACTTGTTCTCAACTGGCTTACCTGGTTAAATAAAGGTTAAATAAAAAATAAAATAAAATAAAAATAAAAATCTGCTTACTGACTCTCACCTTGCTGTCTTGATCAAGTGACGCCAATTGGATTTCCTGGGTGCGTAGCATTGTGTAGTACTGATATCATGGGGCTCTTCCCCTTGAGGACCACAGAACTGATATCATTTCCATAGCACTCTATGGGCTCTTCCCCTCGAGGACCACAGAACTGATATCATTTCCATAGCACTCTATGGGCTCTTCCCCTCGAGGACCACAGAACTGATATCATTTCCATAGCACTCTATGGGCTCTTCCCCTCGAGGACCACAGAACTGATATTGTTTCATTGCATCCCTTCCTGTTCTCTGTGCCCTCTGTGCCCTCTGAGTCCCGCGATGAGGAGTTGGTAGGTGAAGAAGACTGCAGGATGCGTCCGAACTGCTCCCCATTCACCGAAATGGGACTTCTGCTCCCAGCATACATTGCGGAGCCATTACTGTCTTTGGAGATGGCCTGGGTTGGGATGGGCTGGGTGTGTTGGGGCTGGGTGTGTTGGGGTAGGAGCTGTTGGAGTTAGGCCTTTATTACTCTGCGCTTTAGGAAGGAGCCCTGAACAAGCAGCTGACCATGGGGAAGCTCGTAGTCATCCACTTCAAAGCCATGGTTGTCGAGGATGCACCACACCTCCCTCTCTGGGGAACATGCTCACATCAAGAGTGGCCTTGACTGGCATGTCCACCTGTAACACACAGACACACACACACACCCACACACACACACACACACACACACACACACACACACACAGACACACACAGACACACACACACACACACACACACACACACACACACACACACACACACACACACACACACACACACACACACACACACACACACACACACACACACACACACACACACACACACACACACACACACACAAGTAACATTAGGATTAGCTTTACCCTTGAACAGAACCATACTTGTAGAGGACATGCATATAATAGAATAGGAGGGTGCTTCTTCTCACTACCTCAGGGCTGTCCGCTCTCGACTCTCTGACAAGGGGAAAGCGTTGTCCCTCCACTTCCAAGACAGTGGTCCGCCGCAAGACACTGGCAGCCAATGCAAAAGGCTAGGTAAGACAAATTAAGATGAAGTCGTTGTGCTGGCTTTATCAAAATAGCCTATGTATCAACTCAAGATTCAAATCACAAATGATCACAGAATAATATGTGACATATTTTCATATTGCATGTGTTTTTGACAGCAGCTCTTTTGATTTTAATGAAACCTTCCATACATATTTGCCCATTGTAGAATTGCTCAGAAAGTGACTTTGTGGACCTAAATGCGTAAAACATTCAAGAGATAAAGATGCCTATTTAAAGTTAAAGTTTACCTATTTTGCATACCGCACAATACCATGAGACATCCATGTCTTCATCACTGGAAAATATAAACGGTTGAGTTTGATATCATTTAATTTTATACAAGACCACATGTTGATCTTATCCTGATAGAAGAAAAGAAACAGTGTTGTGAAGAAGATACTGTGGGAACAATAGTGGATCAATATATTAGTAATCAGTTTTATTCTTGTCTTGCCGTGTATACAGATGGTTCAAAGGATCCCATGAATGGGAAGACATGATCAGGTGTGTTTATTCCTGAGTTCCATGTTAATCTATGAGACTAACAAATTATTGATCTGTACATTCAACAGAAATGGTTGCGATAATTGTTGGCTTGCAATGGACAGAGGAGGCGTAACCACGGAGAGTAGTAAAATGTTGGGACTGCATCAGTTTTGTGTAGTTTAAGATCTGGAAAGTCAGAACGTGAGGATTTATGGTTAGAAATAATATGATGCTGTTGTTGGGGTAACAAAGAAATGATGATATTGAAATTCAGTTCTATTGGATTCCGGCTCATACAGTAGTTTATGGACACGCTACAGTAGATATAATAGCAAAAAGAGCAGAGAAAAATAATATTGTGGATACACAGGTGCAGTTGGGCAGAGGGGAAATGAAAACATTGATTCTGAAAAATGGGTTAGATTGCTGGCAGAGACTATGGGATAAAAGCCGTAATTCTTGAGCATGTTACCCAATGAGGTGCTCCAGCTCCTTGACTTCCATGATTTTCAGGTGAACGAGATTCCCCAAGGTCAGCTACTCATTCAGGGCTCCTTCCAGAAGTTCAGTGCAGTGAAGGCCGAACTGCAGCAGGTCTTACCCCAGGACACAAACACCCTGCGCCACAGCAGCCCTTCCCCAGCCAGTCTCAATAACCATTCCTCTGGGGTCATTTCCAAATCCTCAATCCTCTGCAACCCATTTCCCAGCCCACAAGCAACAGGGTATGTTGGGGCCAACTTGACCCATACGAGGAACCCATCCCCCAAGCCAGTGGAACCCATCTCCCAGACCCCATCTTGCAGTGAGTTCTTCTTCATAACGGACGCAGATGTGCTCCGTTATGCCCTGTGCTTCTGGAAAAAGGAGGCCACACAACTCAAAGGGATGTAAAGCCAGCTGAAAGTTCAGATCTCAGTTATGTTTTCCTTGAAGGGAAAAGCCCAGAGAGGGCTATGGAAAAGCTGCAAGGTTTTCTCACCAAGCTCAATTTAACACTACGAACCCAAGAAATCCCACTGTGGACACTCGATCGCTACCGACAGGTTAGAATTCATAAGCTGGTTGAGAAGTATAATATAATTGATCCTACTGTCCTCGTCAATCAGGTTGAAGATCTCCTCCGCCTTGTAGGACCATCCAAGGACAGTTATGAGATGAAGCAGATGCTCCTGGGAAAACCCATAGACCTGCTACCAGCCGGGCTAACAAGCAGGGTACTGGACAGGTACTCAAGAGACAGGAGAAGCGGTGCTCCCATCCTTGACCCAGTACCTGACCCTGTGGCTGCTGCTGCACCAGTTAACTAGTAAATTAACTACATTTTGCAGTAGCTTGATGGCAGTTGAACTAAATTCAAACCTAGATAGTGTTTGCAGTAGTTCATTACTTTTTGCCATGTAGCGATGTAGCTAACTACTGGAACTACACACTGCTTTTTCTGGCATCAGACCAACCTGTTTCTCACTTGAAACATCATTTTTTTGTGTTTAGGCTAAATTACACATTCTGTTAATACATGACCCCAAAGTGATCTGTTCGTGCA